CATCTTCCAATGGGTATAATTTGAACTTCAATTTCTCATTCGCTCGAACATCTTTTTGACAAGTAAATTTATGACAGTGATGTTCTCGAGAAGGAGAACATGAATCTATTTTGATAATTCAAAATGAAGAATCAGATCACACTACAAAATATGTCAAAATAGCCCCATATTGAGGACTATTTTCCAGTAATCCCTCAAATGAATAAAAACTGAGAGACACGTAAACGAGAAATATAAAGACTTAGTGATAAAGTTCAAGTGGAAATTACACTGCAGTCGATTCTTAAAGAGTACAATTCTAAAATCAAGTTTAAGATTTACTTATCCACAAATCAGATATTTAAATTTTAATAATTAAATATTTAAATTAATCTAAATATTCACCTCGCCCTCATCCAATGCCATCTACCCTACCAAATTTAACTCCAAACCCTAACCATTTTCCTTCTCTCTCTTCATCTCACTTCTCACTTCACTCCATCATCTTCCTCCTTCCTCACACAATCAAACAATAGTCCGAAGATAGCAGCGCTCATAGAGAAGTCATCATTGTGGCTGCACAGAAGCTATGCAGACTGGCGCTATCTTCTCCCTTCTCTATGATGGTAGCACTCACAAAGAATCCACAGTGCATCAACGATGATGGCACTGTTGCTGTACAAAAAAACTACCGCGTGCACCGACGATGTGTGCAGCTCTGCACAATGATGATGATGATGATGATGTCGTTGCTACGTAGATGAAGTGTTCGGGGTATTTTTGGGTAGTTTTTTCCTTCAATCAGCTGCTTAGTCAAAGTTTTGAGTAATACTTGTGGTGGTTTTGCAACGATTTTGAGGTGGTTTTGAGGTAGTTTTGTGGTGATAGTGGCAATGGCGGTGGTTGTGGTAAGGTAGTGGTGGTTGTGGTAGTAGTGGTAGGGTGCATGTGGTGGCGAGGTGGTGGTGGTTTGCAATGATGGTGCTGGTGGTGGTAGTGCTAGGGTTGGGTTGGATTGAATTGAATTGAATTGAGATTGAGATTGTATAAAAAGGGTTTATAACCAATAAAATGGTTAATTTGTGACCAATAAATAATATGAAACCGAATAGATAATTGTGGCTGGGGAATAATAAGCGACCTACTAATTTATCTACATGTTTAAAAAATTATAGATCTGTTAAAAAAATTATCTACATGTTAATTTATGTAGAAATAAAATTTATCGATTAAAATGTATACTAATTTAACGAAAATGAAATTAAACATACGCAAATATACTTATCGATTCGAAGTGATATATATATATATAGATGAAAATGAGGTTGAAGTAGATGAAATTTCTAAGATTTTGAGGTTGAAGTAGATGAAAATGACAAAGCGTTTTTATCTTTGTTGGAATGAACAAATAAGAAAAGTTAGCTAATTTTGAAATTTTAAATGAAGTGTTTGATTTTTATTTGTTAACTAAAATGATAGTATTATCTTTTAAACAAAACAATATTTTACAATTGTATTTTTTATTTAAGAGCATCTTTGTCTTTTAACATTCAAAAGATCATTAAGAAAATATGCAACTGTTGAAAATTCAAAGTAACCAAGTCAATTTTAAAAGTATCCCTAAATCTGAGTCTTCTGAGTTCCTTTGTCGAGAGAGAAGATATGACGTTAGAGTTGGACAAAAAATTAAAATGTTGAAACTTGTCTTCTTTAAATAGTGCCATAGAAAACAATATCAAACCAGCATACTCTTTACCTATTCTCAAATATATTTGAATAAATTGAATGCTTAATTTTAAAAACGTTACTTCTAATAATAAATTATTTATCTTAAAATTACTTAAAGTAAACATTTTAAGGCCTATTTAAGCACCATTTTTTTATAAAAATAAATTTTATAATAGTAATTTTTTTAGAATGTGTGATTAAAAAGTATGATAATGTTTTAAATTTAAGAACATATGTGTACAATTATTTTATTAGAAAATATATAATTAAAAATTAACTTGAGAAAAAGTATATTTTTTAGAGAATAAGCTCAAACATGAACCGAGTCCCTCTTTGGAGGCCTTTAATTTGAAAGAGCTATGTTTCGAATTGTATTTTTTTCGAGGATAAGTGGTTAAAAAGAATGAAAAAAATTTGATTTCATATGTAAAATATTTTATTTTATGAATGTATAATATGAAATAAATATGAAAAATAAATTAAAGTAAAGTAAAGATTACCAACAAATAAGTCAGCAAAATCCCGATTGCAAATAATGGAAAGGCATCTACCTTCTGGACAAAATCTCCAATCAAATCCTCCTTTATCAATCACTCGACGGTGAAATAAACTTCTTGAAGCCGCCCCTCCCCTCTCTCTCCTTTTCTCTGGACACAGTTCGCAACCCGTCTTGTTGAAAATGAGTTGGTGGTGGGCAGGAGCTATTGGCGCTGCAAAGGTAAGTTCATTCATTTCAGATACATTCAGCATCTGTATACGGATTGTGTGTGTTGGTGGATACTGTATACATAGTAGTTTCTAGAGATTAAAAACCTTGTATGATTTGATCTTGAAACAGAAAAAATTCGAAGAAGATGAGGCACCTATCAAACATCAAAGCGTGGGCCTAATAATCGGGGTCACAGGTATCGTGGGCAACAGTCTGGCCGAGATCCTCCCGCTAGCAGACACCCCCGGCGGCCCCTGGAAGGTATACGGCGTCGCCCGCCGCCCCAAGCCATCGTGGGACGATGGCAATCCAATTCAGTACATCCGATGTGATATCTCAGATCATGAGGATGCTCAAGCTAAGCTTTCACCTCTAACGGATGTCACACACATATTCTATGTCACTTGGACCAGCAGATCCACAGAGGCTGAAAATTGCGAAGCCAATGGCAAAATGTTTAAGAATGTGCTTGATGCAGTTATCCCCAATTGTCCTAACTTGAAGCACATTTGTTTGCAAACAGGAACGAAGCATTACATTGGTCCATTTGAATCCTATGGAAAGATAAAAACTCATGACCCTCCTTTCCACGAGGACTTGCCCCGTTTGAGTTTCCCAAATTTTTACTATACACTTGAGGATATCCTGTTCGAGGAGGTGGAAAAGAAGGAGGGATTGACGTGGTCCGTTCATAGGCCAGGTACTATATTTGGATTTTCTCCGTATAGTATGATGAACTTAGTAGGGACCCTATGTGTTTACGCGGCTATCTGTAAGCGCGAGGGCTTGCCATTGAGGTTTCCGGGGAGTAAGGTTGCCTGGGATGGATATTCTGATTGTTCTGATGCAGATTTGATTGCCGAGCATCAGATATGGGCTGCGGTGGATCCATACGCTAAGAATGAGGCGTTCAATATCAACAATGCAGACGTATTCAAGTGGAAACATTTCTGGACGGTATTGGCTGAGCAGTTCGAGGTGGAATATAGAGAGTTCGAAGAGGGGCAGAATCTGACCTTGCAGGAGATGATGAAGGATAAAGGGACAGTTTGGGATGAAATTGTACAGGAGAATGGATTAACACCAACTAAATTGGAGGATATCGGGATTTGGTGGTTTGCTGATGTTGTTCTTGGCTCCGAATGTTACTTGAGTACCATGAACAAGAGCAAAGAGCACGGGTTTCTGGGATTCAGGAATTCTAAGAATTCGCTCGTGTCATGGATTGACAAGGTGAAAGCTTACAAGATCGTCCCTTAATTTGATCATCGTCTATGTGTTCTTGGTGTACTCTTATGCTTCCTTGGTTTGATATTTGTTCTTGGGGTATGATAATGTGTTTAATGTGTCTTCTGCTCAAAAAATGTTGGGGAAAGAAGAGGAAACTTTTTCTTTCTGAATCAGTCCGGCAATTTGGGTTGTAATGTAGTTACTCACTATGAATTTTGTTAAGCCGTCAATTTTATTACTGGTACTGCAAATGTTGTTTGAATCTTGCTTGAATAATATTTAGTACAATAATCAAAGTTCGAAGGGCAGTTTAGGTGATTCGAGCACGTTTGCATAGCCTTGATCTTGGACTCTCGGTAGTATAGTCAGAGAAGAGACGGAATATGAAAACTAACATGGTATGAGAACAAATATACGTTATAACTTATAGAAGAGGAAGTTGCAGCACATTTGAGAGTCTGAACTCATTATTCTGATTTGAACAGATGCAATGTGCTTTCGAATTTTGTCATAACATTTCGTTTGATAATCCTAGACTAGATGTTTCGAGATTGAACTGATGCAACGTATGTTTAGGGACATTTCATTTGACCTTACCAATATGCACACAAGTCCAACACCCGAATAGTAACATATGTGGTGCTAATTGAGCTGTTAGTCCCGAGCTCATGGACAACTCAAATGCCATAAAACCAATGATGGAAAAAGGTCGACTCAAAGTTACCCTTTTTAAAATTGGTCAAATTATGGTCAAACGCCGAGTAGTCAACCATCGAATTTTTGGATAAAAACCATCCAAAGGTTTTTCTGCCTCAAAAATTTGAAAGGTTTGAAACAAGCACGGCTACAAATTCAATACAATACAATACATCAGACGCGACATCTCGGATTCTGAGGACTCACAAGCTAAGCTTTCACCTCTAACGGATGTCACACACATCTTCTATGTCAAATGGACCAACAGATCCACGGAGGCCAAAAATTGCGAAGCTAATGGCAAAATGTTAAGAATGTGCTTGATGCAGTTATACCCAATTGTCCTAATTTGAAGCATATTTGTCTGCAAACTGGAAGGAAGCATTACATTGGTCCATTTGAATCCTATGGAAAGATAAAAACTCATGATCCTCTTGCCCCGTTTTGGATTGCCCAAATTTTTACTATACTCTTGAGGACATCCTGTTCGAGGAGGTCCAAAAGGAAGGATTGACGTGGTCAGTTCATAGGCCACGTACTATATTTGGATTTTCTCCGTATAGTATGATGAACTTCTTTGGGACCCTATGTGTTTATGCAGCTATATGTAAGCACGAGGGCGTGCCGTTGAGATTTCCAGGGAGTAAGGTTGCCTAGGATGGATATTCTGATTGTTCCGATGCAGATTAGATTGCCGAGCATCAGATATGGGCTGCAGTGGATCCCTATGCTAGGAATGAGGCGTTCCATATCAACAATGGGGACGTATTCAAGTGGAAGCATTTCTGGAGGTTGTTGGCTGAGCAGTTTGAGGTGGAAACTGGAAAGTGGAGAGTTCGAGGAGGGGCAGAATCTGACCTTGCAGGAATTGATGAAGGACAAAGGGATGGTTTGGGATGAAATTGTGCAGGAGAATGGATTAACACCTACTAAATTGGAGGACGTCGGGGTTTGGTGGTTTGCTGAAGTTATTCTTGGCACGGAATGTTTCTTGGATACCATGAACAAGAGCAAGGAGCACGGTTTTCTGGGATTTTGAAATTCCAAGAATTCTTTCTTAACGTGGATCGACAAGATGAAAGATTACAAGATCGTCCCTTAATTTGATCTTCATCTATGTGTTATTGTTGTATTTGCATGCTACCTTAGTTTGATATCTGCGTTTTCTTGGTGTATGATTAATAGAACTCGTGTTTTTTTACAT